AATATTCCAGAATTAATTTGAAAATTAAGATTATGTAATACATCGAAAATTGAGTATCCTGACATAGTCAAAAAATATAAAAACAGGTTGACACAACATCCTAAAAGTTCTTCTAAAGGAAAGTTGTTGGATGAAACTTGTTATGGTCTATTTTAAGCCTACTAATACGTAAAAATTCGTTTTAAATTTGTTTTTGTATTTCGACAGTAAAAAATTGCATACATGATTTAGTTCTTATTTATCAACTTTCCCTAGTATTATTAGTTATAGTAATGGCAAAAAAGTCGAAAATAAAGATTGTTGTAGATCTTTTCGTTTCAAAGACTTCTGAACATTTTGACATACTTTAGAAAAATGAATGTGTATGTATGTGTGGATACAATTTTTCGTTGGCATTTTCGGAGCACGAATCAACCAATTTGAATGGTTCAAAAAACATTGACAAGAAGGAAGCTGATTAGTTTTTGGCAAAGGCAGGTCCAGTCATTTCAAAGATACAGAGTTAAATGTACAAAAAATGGCAGTTTTTGAGAGAACTAAGCGTCCGATTTGAATAATTCTGCTTGTGTTGACAAAGTAATTGCTTTTGGAAAAAAATAATTTTCATTTATTTATTTTTTGTATATCGCAAATAATTCAGATTTTAATTTTAATTCTGGCTGAAATTCTTAAGCTCACTTATATACTTTAAATAAATTATTTTAACTTTGTAATTCAGTTAATATAACTCCTATAAATATTAGACAATATTACAGTTTTTTAATCGAACTAAATATACAGTTTATTTCTCGAACATTTGGTTACGGTACGGGAAGTTCCAGCAATTTGTCGTAAGGCATGATGCCATACACTACTAGTTCTATTTTATATCTATCTAATTTTTTCACTAAATTTACTAATACAGTTTACATATTAGGAAACTTCTATCACTTTCTATTAATTGCATATCTTGTGACAGCGAAAATTTAATGTGGTAAGTCTACCATATCTGAATTTTTGAAATTGGAAATTTTTGAAATTTGAACTTTTTTTCTGGTGAGGTAGAAATTGATCCCAGTACCTCAGCAACCACGACAGTCCTATGTTACTATGCACCTACTATTTGCATGTTTTCCACGTATTCGATAATACTCGTCCTCTGAAACCTTCGCTCTTTCAAATGATCTAGTTACTAGATACAATCTAGATACATTTAGTGAAATGAACACATCTGTGTTCGCGAACGTGCTCCACACACGTCGATCTATTATCAGGGAGCAGTCGTCGCCCGACATCGCACAATGGGGAGCCCTCGAGAAGAAAAATTGAAAAACAGGGCAAACGGAAAATTTGCGAGACTCCGCGTCTTCCGTCGTTCAAAAACCGTTCAGTTCGTTTCGCAAAACGATTTATCCACGTTTGTAATCAACGACGATGCTACGCCCCGGACTATTTTTCCTTTTTGGAGCAGAACGCGGTGATCGGATTGATATGTCCGGGAGAGAAAATATATGAATTCATGCTTGTTGGCACACACAGAGAAATCTATTTACTAACAAAATGGAAAGAATTATATGAAACAAAATATGAAAAACTATCAATTTTATAATCAAAACTAGTTGTGTAGCATTTTTTCTTGTGACAATTTGCATGAACTTCCTGATATACGAGTATGCAAATAATCGATTTATTCTATATTTTTTAACTTCCCGTAGAATAGTTATAGTAATGAGCCGAACATCAAAAATGGAAATTTTTGCATATCTTCACGTTTCGAAGGTTTCTGAACAGTTTGGCATACCTCAAAAATGGATGGTATGTGTATGTGTGTGTTTTGTATGCCCGCATTTTTTCATCCACGGTTTTGGGCGCGCGGATCAACCGATTTGAATGGTTCAAAAATCATTCGATTCCTATTGATAGGGAGTTGTGCTGATTAGTTTTTGGTAAAGGTAGGTTCAGTCGTTACGGAGAGACGGAGCAAAGAATGCAGAAAATACAAATCGAGTTTTTGAGAGAATGCAGTATCCGATTTGAGTGATCTAAAAATATTCAATTTGTAATGATTGGGAGAAGAGGTGTTTAGTTTTTGGTAAAGGCAGGTCCAGCGGTTTTGGAGATACAGAGCCAAATGTGCAAAAAATGGCAGTTTTTGAGAGAACTAAGCGTTCGATTTGAATGATTCAAAGAACTTTCTGCTTGTTACAATAAAATAATTGCTTTTGGAAAAAAAATTGTTTCCATTTTTTTTCTAAATTTTTCTTTTGTGTATCGTAAATATTTCAGATTTAAATTTTAATTCTGTTCTAATATACTTTAAACTTTGCAATTCAGTTTATATAATTCTTATAAATATTAGACAATGTTACAGTAATTATAATAATCTATTTGAAAACATTTAATATTCCTCGAACATTTCGTTACGGTATGGGAAGTTCCAGCAATTTGCCCTAAGGCACTATGCCACCCACTTTTAGTTAGTTTATATATGATCTAGTGTACCTATTCACCTGTCGATCTTTGTATTTATATTACCATCTACATGTTTAAATGTTCGTCTGTCTGTTTATTTACCCGTCTACCGATCCACATTCACCTGCTTACGTATCCAGCTGTTTACATGTTCACCTTTTTACCTGTCTATTAGTCTACTTGTTTATCAGCTTACCTCTCTATCAGTTTATCGGTTTACTAGTCTATTTGTCTATATTGTTTATTTTGTCTTTTTTTCAACTCTCTCAGCTGTTTACCTGTTCACCTGTCTAATTGCCTTGCTGCTATCTATCTACATGTCTACCAGTTATAAAAGCCAATTTGCTTATCGGCCTACCTTTTTTTCTATTTTTCTTTCTGTTTACCTGTTTACCTGTATATTTGTATACCTGTCTGCATGTTTACCTGTCAAATGAATGAATTTAACAGTAATGAATTTTGGATCCTGTCTACTAGTCAGCCTGTGAACCTGTCTATCTGTATACTTGTCTAAATTTTCGATTATAGTAAGATGATGAGGATAAATGGCTTATCAATACTTTATTTTTATATCTCATTAGTAGATTTGAATCTACGAAATATTAGCATTCTTCAAACTAGACCGTTAAAAGTTCAATACAGTATTTTATTCTAATTTCCTATGCATTTTACAATAAATTTATTTTAACATGTGCTTTAAGAATAATTATAAAGGTAATAAATAAGCATAAATTTTACTCTTGTGAAATTTCATAAAACATTATTTATGTATTAGCACAAAACAACTTTTATTATTAATTGTGCATTATCTAATTCGCTTCTGATTATTATCCTCTACGAATCAGGTGTCTCCCAGTAGAATTTCAAATATTCACGTTAAAATTACGAATGACATATTCTCTCGTCGTACTTTTAGAATGTAAGATTCCCAATAGTATTTTTCTTAATAACACCCACACCCAGAACCAAAAACCACCGATCTCGAGGCGTTTTCTCGTATTTCAGTATCTCTATTTTTTATTATTATGACTGAGATGCGGCGCCGGAGTCGCTTTAATTATTCTCTACGCGTTTTCACAATTCAATTCAGGACGTGTCTTTGTCAGAAATGCGAAATTTATGTTAAAATTCAACAACACCATCTTGTTGACAACCAGGAACATGGTGGAAATTAAAATTTAAATTAATAAAGTTATTAAAATAATGTATTACTTCTTGGTAATTAAAACATTCACAGTATACAACTGGTACATATTATATTTTAGATCATTTTTTCCATAGGAATATTTTTTCCAATTATAGGATTTTTGATGAGACTAAAAATTCTACTATTACTTCTATTAATTGGCAGTTTGTTTTAATTTGTCATGCTTGATGAAAGGTTAATTTCAAGGACAGTGTTCAAAACGCTGATTATGATTGTCAAAAGCATTATGAATGCTTCTCATTTCAATGCGACACCTATATGATGCAAAATAATATATGATTTAGGTGAAAACTGAGCTAGTAGAAATAGAATTTACTAATAACCATTTTTTTCTGAATTTCTCTTTCTCGATTTGTTTTATTATGAAAATATTAGTAAATTCATTATTTCACGATCCTGACAAAATGCGCAAATTTTTTATCAAATTTTTTAAGACACATCAGTACATGTTTTGGAGGAGAGCTTTTCAAAGCCGATCATATTTAAATACATACATAGTTTAACAAATAGTTTTAAATTTAGAAAACTTGGTGCAATTGCAGTCATTATTTTTGACTGTGGTCTCAAAAATTTTATTTACTATCGCGGTTCTTAAGTTTCAATATACAATTATAGTGAAGATCAACGTCTATAACCGAAAAATGATCAGTTTTCACCAAAGCTTCGGACGTAATAGTTTTATACTATTATTCCATTTTGGCTTGACGTTGAGTTCTGGGACACTTTGTCCCAGACATAATAAAGAATACTAATGAGTATCATTTTAATTATTTTATTATAAGTCTACATGTAATATATCATATAGTTTACCCTATTTTCCTCTACCTCCGAATAACGTATGATGCACATATGACAGAGAGATTATCTACATGCTTCCTACCGTGGTATTAAATTTTTGAATGATGGCTGTTAAATTTTGTATGGATTAGCATATCCGCTTTTGGACTTTTTGCTTTTATCACAAATAATACATTTTTTATACGGCTGGTTTATGACATATGAAATTTTAACTGCAAATAAGTTCACGTCAAAACAAAATGGGTTATGGACATATTTTTACTGTAGATGTAGTTACAGATTAAACCCTTTATGGGATATAAAATTATTGATTTAACCCATAAATTGATTTAATTATTGAAAATAGGTAGAAAAAATAAGAAAATCTGTTCAAACCATTTTTTTGGTATTAAATTAATATGTAACTTGAGTCACGTGAATCATTAATACTAACTAGCGGCCGAAAATATTTTCACGAATATGGCACTTCAGGTAGAAATGTTTAGCAAAGGTCATATTGATATTGGTTTTATTGACAATAATATAGAATTAAAATTTACACGCCATGAGATGGCATGGCATGAAAAACAACCATGAGGGTTAGGATAAAATAATTGCTTAAAAACGAATGTCCTAATGGTTTCAATTTAATTATTAGATTGGATCTTTATACATTCCAATATTTATATCCAACCTTTTTTTTCAGGACAATCAACAAGTATGTTGTCAACTCGTATCGGGGCTTTAGGGGCTATCCCCTGTGCTATTTCCTGGCTCTACAAGGGAATTGCTGACCGAAGGCAACGATCAGGAGCCAGGTTCAGCGTACGTGTCAGCGCCATCGGACTTTCGCCTGCACATGGATCCCCTCCTTGTGATTTACTATCGGCGCACGCCACTGGTAAGTAGAGTAATAGAAGATTTAAGTCAATAAAAGGAATTTCAACTAATGCAAAGTCTTTTTGCAAGCCTATGTAAATGTAGCAAGATCTCAAAACTTCATAAATTAGTAATAATTTAAACGTCCAAAAGGGCATTCAAAAAGTAATCAGAAATTATTATTATATTACTTAATTTTCAACATTTACTGCAGAACGCAAATTAATCTATGAAGTTTTCTACAGTTATAATGCACTTTTTTATCATTGTCAAAAATTCCAATTGCTATTAGATTGGGTTGTTTCTATATACCATAAAACTACATTAATTTTTTTATTTGGGTTCTCGTTAAAATATACCTAATAAAATATTTTTATGTATATTACTAGTTCACAATTACATCGCTAGTGCTAACACGATTGTTCTTTCTGAAAGTACAAATTATGAGTCGTAAATTTAATTATTGTCGTACACCTAGGTATACTATATTTAATCACAAATAAAATCACAGTTGATTACTGACCCCGTTCGTAACGCGACGCTAATCTTTGGGATCATTAAGCAAGGCTAATAAAACATGTATTTTTAGTACTTACTTAACATATGTATATATACGCTAGTTGTAAATTATTAATTTTGATGGAATGGGGTTGCATATTTTAGATAATTTTATCGTCTATATACAAAAGCAAAACCACTTATTATTAGATTTATATTATATTATTACAATTATAAGACAATATTATAATCTACAGTTTTTTCCATTGAAAGCCATATCGTGAAAGTAATTTTGGAACTTGGAAAATTTAAATACATTGGATTACTCAATTTTTGATAATATAATAGATGATAATAATAAATATTTGTCTCCAAAAAATATAATTTATTATATTCAGTTTAAGCTATCAATGTAGTATGTATAAAAAAATATTCGAATTTTAAAGACATTTGGCAAATTAGTTAAAAATCGATATATTTTTATGAAATGTATTTATAGTATAAATGAAAAAATACAATAGTAAAATTTCTTAACGCATCATTAATTGTAGTAATGTTACAGCATTTTGCTTACTGGTTTGTCCTATTACCAAAAACCATTAAAAACCATTTCTTGCCAAAACAATATCGAATTCTGTTACTAACTTCCCGAAGGAGTTTATGTTTTCATCAAAAAATCCGATTTGCTAATTTTATGTTTTTTCCATGTTCCAAGACATTCTGAATCGAATAAGACTAACTTTGGAAAAAGTATGTGTGTATGTGTGTGTATGTGAACAGATTTTTTGCTGTAAATCGACGTTTTCTCAAAAACGGCTGGACTGATTTCAACAATTTAAAAGCCTTTCGATGTATCTCGATGAAGACTGGTGTTTATCAATTTTGCAAACAGTTTCTTTGTAAATCTCAGAAACGTGAAAAAATTTTCGTCTACGTTTCAGCTCGCAATTCTGATTTTGAAAATTCAAAAACTTTTCGAAAGGTATTGGTTTGGAATCGTGCTGATTAGTTTTTGGTAAAGATCGGCCGGTCCGATTTCTTGTAATAAAGTATTAAAAAAATTTTATATTTTTTTCAAGGTAGATACCATAGTCTTATAAACCATACTAAAATATTACGGCCCTACGGCAAGCCGTTTAATTTTGAAAATTCTTCAAAGTTTGCAACAATTAGTATCGTTTTTTTAGCATTTATCAAAATTAGACCTGTCATCGACGTTTGCTCAAAAACGCCTGAACCGATTTCAGAAATTTAAAAGCCATTTGATGTTTCTCAATGAGGACTATCGTCTGTCAGTTTTGTGCGACGATCTGCTGAGCTGTTTCTTTGTAATATGAAAAAAGTGTTAAACTTTTCGTTCACATTTAAGCCTATACTACCGAATCGATTTTAAAAAAAAAAATTTTAAAAAAATAAATTCTGTTCGAAAGATATTAGTTGGGGATGATACTGATTAGTTTTAGGTGAAAATCTACAGAGCCGTTTTCTTGTAATTGAAGGTGGAAAAAAAATTTAAGCCGATTTTGATGGAACTATTTTTGGCAGTGCGGTCTATCTAAATGTCAATATTAAGAGCTAAATCTATCAAAGATTCATTTTTATTTATTTTGGAAGTATTGGAGCCCTTGTGAGCAAAGAAATTCGGAAATATCCATGTTAAGGACCACCCTAATGTACATGTAGATATAACATTTTTTACTTTTGTAAAAGAAATCAACCTATATTTTTTCATCCCTATCAACTTTGTTTTCATACCTGATCAACTTCTTTCATTTCCATACCATATCAACGCATCTTACCATGTGATTGACGTATATACTCGTCATGAAGTCAATTCGGACAACTCAAAACTGTGCGCACTGTTCGATGAATGCGCCACAATTAAGTGGTTAATACACCATTCATATATAATTCAACAATTGCATCAAACAATCACCACTGTCTATACTAAGCATGTCGTCCACCTTAAGCCCACTCTGTCAGATATCAAATTAAGCGATTAGACTAATCACAGTCGCTTAATTATCGTCGCAGCTCCTCCAAATCCTTTATCCTTTATCCTTTATTCAGAGGGCCGACACCGCCGACACAGGGCCGATAGCGCCCGTTCATTTGTCATCTGGTCCCGCCGGCCGCACGCGATCTCATTACACTTCCGCTGTTTTTATATATTTACATTTTTCGCGGGCACATTTTCTTGTCGTTGCGTGAAAATGGAACTGGAAAATACTATAATAGAAATGCATTAGGCAAAACCGAAAATTTATGCTCCGAGCGCTTGTGACTTTGCGATTTTTATAACGGTGTTATTTATTGCTCTTAGTACGACTTATGTCTAATGACGGTTTTTAAGTTTTTATAACTCTATATTTAATGACCCAAGTTTAGTGTTGTCTGAATATGAAATTAAATATTTTCATTAGTGCATCTAACGCAGCTATGACGCAGACATTAACAGTTTATTGAATGTTAAACACTAAGTTTGAATATTCATTATAATCAACGAATTAAGTGATTCATTTTGGGTTATCCGACTTCATTCATAGATATATGTTTAGTCGTTATCACAATTGCATTCTTGTTAACTTTCCGAAGAAGTTTATGTTTTCATAAAATCCGATTCGCTAATTTTGTGCTTTCTCGACGATTCAAGCCATTCTGAATCAAATGAGACCAAATTTGGAAAAAGTATGTGTGTGTGTGTGTATGTGAACAGATTTTTAGCCGTAAATCGACGTTTCCTCAAAAACGGCTGGACAGATTTAAAAAATTTAAAAGCCATTTGATGTATCTCGATGAGGACTAGCGTTTATCAAATTTGCGCGATGATCAGTGAAGCCGTTTCTGTGTAAATAGTAGAAAAGTGAAAAAAAAATTGACCACTTGTTAGCCCGCAGTTCTAAATCGATTTTGAAAATTTAAACTGTTCGAAAGATATTGGTCGGGAATCGAGCTGATTAGCTTTTGGTAAAGATCGGCCAGGCCGTTTTCTTGTAATGAAGTTTGACGATAGGTACCATAATCTTATAGATCATACTAAAATATTACGGCCCTAGGAGAAGTAGTTTAATTTTAAAAATTCATCAACCCATTACGGACTCTTTAATTTTCTCTTAAGTCTTGCTACATACTAGCTTTCAAATGTTCTATTCGAAAGGCAACTAGATATAATATGCTGCCAACATAATTTTTTACTAAATTCAATTCATATAAAGAAATTTGAATTTTATAAGAACGCGGATTAGCAAACACTAAAGTACTGGGTTTTAACACCAACTTTAGTCAACTTTATATCGAGCAATATATGGTACCAGATTTAAACTTAACATTATAGATCCAAAAATATGACATCATGTGCAAATTGCTTTTCAGGGGTATTGCTGACGTCATAAAATACCATTCAAGTTTTATAAATTAATTATTTAAATAGCTAAATCTCACTTCTCATTGATGAAGTATATTATTTCCACTTACCACTTTTTATTTTATGACCCCAGAAATATTCTAATTACCTTAACATTTTAGAATTTTTTTTTTTCAAAAGTATACTTAGCCAGTACACGAAATTCTCTACAAAACAAAACATTATTTGAATACACATAAAATTACTTCTTAAATTTACTTAATTTCTTGCAATATTGGTAAATACCATGAGCAGTTCTACCTTAATATCAACAATATAAACTTTCATTTCTAAATTATTTTCAAACACATGCATTTTATTCCTTATCATGCTCGTTTCGAATATTATTACCATTACAACTGAAATATTCTTCTCCGGAGGAATTTTAATGTATAATGTCCAAAATAAATTATATGGTTTGTTTATGATAATTATGAAAATATTTGAGATTTGTTCTAATATTACTAAAACGACCGTCTCATTTTAATAAGAATGTCAATTACTGAAAAACACATTAGGCAATGCGTTTTGTGGCTCGCTTATGGTAGAAATGAAACATTCTTCGGATTTATGTGGGGAGGTCAACCTGGGGAAAAGAAATGTCGATTAATCTCATATGGTATTCTTAAAACTGATATTTTACTACAATTTAGGTTTCGTAAAAGAACCAGTTTTTGATGTACATAGTTTACTCTATTTATGAGTAATAAGATTTGAATCATGCTGAATATTGTCAAAATGTTATCTTTTTATTGTGCATTCAGGCGTTTTACACATAAACAGCAATGTCACTCATATGTTATGAACCTGAGTCAGAAACACCCTGTTATATAGGATCGTTTTATTGACATTTGTGCGGTTTCTAAGTAAGGTTTTTTATGTGACAATCTGAGAAATGCGCCTGACCGCAAACTAACCACAGGGCTTTTTTCAATATTTTGATTGGAAAGTTCTTCATAACATGGCCTTGCCATAACATTTTTCTGTTATACGACAGAATCGGTTCCTTATTATCCCAAAAGAATGCAAAGTTTATAATTTTTCAGCGATACTGTAATTCAAAGCCTTAAATCGGGCGAAATCGCTATCACGAGATAAACGGCCACATTGTCAATTTTTTA